AAAGAGTAGCTCATGAAGTGAGGATTTTCCAAGATTATGTAAGAAGAAAAAGACCCATTCCCCAATCAATGTGGAACAATCTGTAACATTCCTTGCTCACCTAATGCTAATCATTTGGAGCTTGATATACCAAGTATAAAGGATGGGTTTTAATCCGATACCATGTAAAAAATAAGGGACCTTTGGCCTAATTCTGCTAAAGATAGCTCATGAGCTGAAAATTGTGGAGACCAACAATTTATTCTCTTAACACGTGGAACTATCTAACATATGTCGAACCAAATACTGAGTGCGCAGGCATGTATTGCCAATTATACAGATCTGCCACTGTCTTGATTCAGAGATGTATGAAACTGAGTGCATATTTCCTTTCCGCGCAGAGGATTCCAGAAGACTTTGCGAGCAGATATTGCAAGAACATGCTTAACCCTGTGTATCTTGAGGTTCCCAGTGGAGAAGTATGGGAGGTTGAAGTTGTTCATTCTGAAGGCCAAATTTGTCTAGGCATTGGATGGCAAGATTTCAGTGACTTCTATTCAATAAGCTGCGGCCACTTTTTGATGTTCGGATACAATGCTCGTTCCCATTTTAATGTCACTGTATTTGATTTGAGTGCGTCAGAAATTGAATATCCAACAAAAGAGATTGAGTCGGATGATTCCATAGATATTTCGGATGTGGTTGAGCACTCTGTTGAAAATCTGAGCCATGGTCCCTTAGGCCAGGAGAGAAAAAGAAAAAGACAAGAAAGGGAATCAGAGGATGATATTCCAGTTAACGTTCAAACTAAAGTAATCGAGGAAGAAGAGTCTCAAGGAAATGTAGTTTCACTAGGTAAGAATGCATCTTATAATCTGGTTTATTAGCTATGAACAGAATGATATCAGTCATTGTGTTACATTATAATTTGGTAGTAATACTTTTCTTTTGGATATCTGTTTCAAGAAAGAAGCGAAGGCTGTAGGGAGCAGGAGCAACAATCCAACATTATTACCAGTAAGAGCGACACAGAGAGGGACGAAGAGAGAGCTGAAAACTACCAAAGAGCAAAAGCTTTTAAATCTAAGAACCCATTCATTATATCTTTTATGCATCCATCTTATGTCACGAGACCACACAATCTGGTGAGCTTTCAAACTTTGTGGAATGCTCGATATGTGATCTGTTTTTATTCATTCCATACATATGCACAACTTTAAACTCAATTTATAATTGATTTTTTTTGGCAGTCCATACCGTTGAAATTTGCTCGGAAGTATTTCATGCAGAACCGTGGCAAGTTAGTGCTTCGTGTTCCAGGAAGTGGATTTTGGACTGTCAAATGCACTTTACGAACGGGAAATGCTAAAATTACTTGTGGATGGAAGGCATTCGTGCTGGACAATAAGTTAAAATCTGGTGATGTTTGTGTCCTCGAAGTGATTAAAGACACTAAGCTCTTATTGATAGATGTCACCATATTTCGAGGGGTTTCTGATAGTACAAACGAGTCTATCAACCCTGAGCCTTCAGTTCCATGTTCTCCAGCCTATCAAAGAGCAAAAGCTTTTACATCTGAAAATCCATTCTTCATATATCCTATGCAGCCATCATATGTTTCTGGCCCTTCATTGGTAAGATACTTACTCAATGAAGATCTAGTGAGTTTTCATCCTTTTATGTCCAAAAAATGCTAATCTGTGACAAAGACACTATTAAATGATGAATCTTTTGGTCTAAATGATGAAGTATCATTCATTTTACAGACCATATCACGGGTGATTGCTAGTAAATTTTTCCCCACTAGATATAGCGATGTGGTGCTTCAAGTTCCAAACAAGAGATCATGGGCTTTGAATTGCACTGTTGGAACAAAAAATGGTAGGTTGAATTCAGGTTGGAAGAAGTTTGTGCAGGACAATAGCATAAAAATAGGTGATGTTTGTGTCTTCGAACAGGTTAGTAGAACCAAACTTTTATTCAATGTCTACATATTTCCTGCAGTCGAAGGTGTGTGAGATGGTCCCACTTGTTTAAGATTCTGACTTCAGTGTATACTTGATCAATTTGCCTTTTGTTTTTCTGCTTTTTGCAAAGGGGAGTATTCCTCCCAACATAAATTAAAGCAATATCTTTCACCCGAAGCATGTAAAACCTTAAGTTTCTTATTTTGTAATACGTATTAACTTCTTGTATATTTCTTTTTCCTCATGACTTCTTGTTTAGAGTTGAGTATATTATGACCAATGTTATAAGGAGTTAGGCAACATGTATCCCCTCCTTTATGTATTTTGTTTTGGATATTAATGTCCGAAGTAGGGCTCAAAACCCTAACCCACGGGCACCTAGACGTTGATTCCAGAAATTAAAGAACCTTTCTAATGGTTGACTTTGATGATTTCAACATTTTGGATTCTAAATAAACATATGTATGGTCGACTTGATCCTGAACTGCATTGATGAAGACAAGCAAACTCATTTTGGATGTAATACGAAAGATACCTAGTTGTACATAAAGTGTCTTGTTTGTGAAATCTATTCACGGTCACAACTCATGAGGAGAATGAAGGAGCCGAGTAGGAACATAAATTTATTGGAATGCCAGTGATGTTCCTTGAGCAGTGCAAATATAGCGCTCACGACTTTTCGTTGTCCCCAACAGACTCAATAGCTTAAATCTCAGAGAACTAAAGATCAAACTCTTTGAAGGAAATAGCAACAGTTCCATAGTTAACTTGTCTCTGCAAGAAAGTGTCCTGATCTGAGATTTTGGACTACTTCCTTTGTAACCCGAGGCTTTTATAAATGGATGTTCCCATCTACAGCATAACACATGGAAACATCTAACACAATTGGTCCTTTACATGAGATAGTTCTCAAATAAATTATTGGTTTCTTTTGTTCATACACTTTTCCACCCATTCTCCTGGGAGCTTCTGTATGCAGATATACTGAGCAAAGACCTAAATTAGCTCAAAGTCGAATATGATTACAGAATCTAGTTTGATTATCTTGGATAAAACTATCACGAGGATTGCTTTTGTTGGATTATTATAAGCAGTATCGAAGTGTATTCTAAACAATTAGGACATACGCGGCTTCATGAGTTACCCATGAAGCGTGAACAAAGCTCGTCAATCACGTGACCCTCTAGAAAACGGTAAGTTGAGTTTTGGTTGGAAGGAGTTTGTGCTAGCTAGGTGATGTTTATGTTGTTGAACGGGTTAGTATATCCAGACTATTGTTCAATTTCATCATATTTTCTGCTGCTGAAAGTATCTCATCTCTCTTGCTTTAGGTTCCCTTCTCTCCCCATTCTGTATCTTTTTTCTCCCTTCTTTATTCCGCTTTCTCTTCTCTTCTTCAACAATGGATGTTGCAACTTTTTTCTTATTTGATGTGTTAATAATTACTGTAGTACAATGTATAATTAAAATATGTGTTTATTAAACAAAATAGAAGTTTCTTTGCTATTGGAGATAATTTTGTCATCAATCCATGCATTACTACTGCTTCACTCTTTTTCTACATTCTTTCCTAATATTATACATAGATTCAAATAGCACCATAGATATAACTTATATATGTATTATTAATGATACAAAAGAAAATTAGTAACCTAATGTTGTTATAATTATGCTGGATTTTATTGGAGATCAGAACGACCCCTTAAATTATTTGCTACGCTTCTATCCTTGTTATGAATCAGTATCACTTTTCCAAATATCAACGATTAAAATACCTAACTATGATGCAAAAAATTTCTATCAATTTCAACTACTATTTCAAGACGTTGTTTTTTCAAAATTGCGTCCAACAACCTCTAATTTTGGTGTTAAATATCGGAGGAAAAATGGGAGGACACGTTACAAATTAACATGAGATATTGTGTAAATCATGCTGCAAGAAAGTTGATAAAAAATCCCCCCCCCCCCCCCCCCCCCCCAAAACCCATCAATGTTATGGTAAAGATCTTTGAACATATCCAACAAACAATACTTTATCAGTTTGTTAGTGTATTGGTAGAAAGAGTAAAGGCATACTCATTTAAAATCTGATAGATGAATTCTTGGCCACTCCTTTACGTGCAGCAGCAGATATCATACTGAACCAAGTACGATTTCATTCCAAGGTCTTAAGATTCTCCACGGACCTTATCTGAGAGGAATTGATACCTTTGGAAATGAGACAACGAGTACAACAACGATACTATGGGGTTAAATTCATTCATGATCCTCAAACTTATTTTTTGTAACTCTAAAGTTATAAAACAAATTTAAATAACTTTCATCATTTGAAAATGACATGCCATCTCCATGTTACAAGCATATATCCCTTTTGTTCTTAATTGATATTTTTTATCCTTTTACCTTTTAAAACACGTTAATTGTGAAATGAGCGGTAAAAAAAGTAAGAAGGGACTAAGTGTCGGGTGGCTTTTGAGTGGAACCAAGGAAAGAAAGAAGGGTATACTTATTTTGTAAAATAATACACACCACTAGCGGGAATTGAAAAGAAAAAAAAAGAAAAATTTGAAGAAAAAAAAAGGAAGGAAAAATATAGGTGAATAAGTTGTTGTCTTGTTCTTACTAGTGGGGTATAAATTGAAGTAGTGCTTAAAGAAAGAGGGAACATTGTTGGGGGTGATTATAGTTATGAAATTAAAGTGGATTGAGGAATTTGCGCTTAAGTTATCATGTGATGTGTTAAAGTGCTTAGGAGGTTGAGTCACTATTCCTAAATATATCCTACCCATTCTTTAGCCCATATTACAACCACGAAAAAGTCCTAATTGATTTTAGATCGAGTGATTCTACATTAGTAGAGATTTACATTATGGGCAAGCCTATGGTACCAAGTGCATGCATGTGACTTCTTTGGGAGAGCGAGCGATTTCCTTTGATATATGTGAGTCCTTAAAATAAACTTGAGCATTTGATTTGAATGTGTGGATTCTACTTATTCTTTTGCTTTTGTGTTGAGGGCACATGGTTTCATGAGGGACCTTTAACGTTATTAGACTTCTCTATGATGTTGGATATTCAAGCCATGAGTGTATTGTGACATTGAGTCGGTTTTTGAGGATAGGATTATTATGAGCATGTTGTCTTTGGTGTAAATAATTTTGAAGAATAGTATATGTAAAGGGAAGTGTATGTGATTGCATATGCTAGAATTTAATTGTTGCTTCAACCATTGTCATTGGTGTACTGTGCTTCAAATGTATAAATATAAAGCGCCCAAGAATAGTGTGAATTATTGGTTTACTCGAGGACGAGCAAGAGTTTAAGTGTGGGGTAGTGATGTTTGACTATAATTATATATTTTTAGTGGACTATTTGTCTTGCATATTGGTGCTTTAATGTTAAATTGCACTATATATGTGCTTAATTGAGTTTATTTTATGTGTAGGTACTTTGGAAATGAAATTGGGAGCAAAATAAATATTTTGAAGTGTATTTTCTACACTGCAATAATTAGCTCATAAATATCTAATGATTGGAAAATTATGGCATAATAATGAGATGAAACAAAACAAAAAAAGAAACAAAGGTGAAAACAAAAAAAAAAATAATAATAAACTGTGGATTGATTACTTGGAGGAGCAAAACGTGAAGCAGCACATTGAGTCAATTGTTAGAAAGCAAATTAAAAGTTAGGCAAAAAAACGTTACTGGTTTCTGCGTCAGGTCCAGCGCGACGCTGGCCTGGACGCTCGGTGCGGGGTTTTCCTACTTCATTCGGGACAAGATTATTTTTCGGTTCTATACGGTCCCAACTTGTATAAAAGGAGTTCAAACCTATTTTGGAGGGAGGAGGACATTTTTTAGAGGAAAACACAAGCACAAAACCGCCGTGAAGGCCGGAATTCATCAAGTTCCATCTTTTCTTCTACCAAACTTAGTATTTTTTAAATTATGCTTATATTAGCTTTTTATTTTTACCAGGACATTGAAGAGATGATTGCTGATGTTCTTGGTGTTGAAGTTTTTCGGCAAACTATAGCTGGGAATGTTCTTGTTGGCAGCTAGTGTTCTTTCTCCAATTTTCTTCAATGGAGAGAAAGAACCAGGGAAGGGGAAATGTGGTTATTGCTTGTTGACAGTTTGGGGGCAACAAGACAGAAATTTGTTATTCTTCTTCCTGATTCTCTACTTCTATTACATTGGAAGATGCGGAAAAAAGGAAAAAAAACAAACAATAAGAATTCAGTTCAAACTTATAATGTGAAAAACTCCACCAGAATCACTAGACTATACTCTGCTCTTGGTGGTGAAAGTCAAAAAAGACCAGCCTAAGAGTAAACCAAACAAACAAATGCACGAAGAAAAAAAAGAAAAAAAAGGAAGAAGTTAACAACAAGATTTGGTTGCTAAGAAGGCAATATCATAGCGTCAAATTTCAATATCCCAGGTTTGTTACAAAAGAAACATATACGTAACAAATAGGCAATCATGTGAATTTCCCAACTTTTTCTATAGAGCTCACTTCTCTACCCAAAAAAGGCCCAAAATGGAGGAACTAAACATGTACAGCTGTGAGATGATATACACACAAAAGAAAGTTCATAAGGTGACAGAAGATTGATGTTCGAGGCTGGCCAATTAGAGAGCAAAAAAATATGTATCATATCTAATCCTGTGTTAACCAATCTTGGGTTGCTTTGGTAGAGGCTGTTGAGATGCCGAAGATTCTGGTGTTGATTGAATATCATGAAAAGGTCAATTGGTCGTCAACAGACGTCGGTCCAAGTTACCGTCGGATACTCCACCAAATTTTATTTTAGCTGCAGCGACGCCAAGGAGCTTCGAAGGTTAAGTCCTTGAGTGAATGCTTGAACGGTCCAATCATTAGCAACTGGGGATAGATCTATTCGTTCCATCTGAAAACTCGATACGAATTCCCTGAGTATTTCGTTATCTCTTTGTTTTTCTTTGAAAAGGTCTGATTTCCTAGTCTCGACCTTGATGACCCCTTCATGAGCCTTCACAAAAGCATATGCAAGCATAGCAAACGAATCGATAAAATTTGGGAGTAAGTTGTGATACCATATCATTGCTCCTTTTGACAGAGTTTCCCCAAACTTCTTTAACAAAACCGACTCGATTTCGTCATCTTCCAAGTCGTTTCCCTTAATGACGCATGTGTAGGAGGTCACATGCTCGTTGAGATCTGTCGTTCCGTTGAATTTTGGAATGTTGGGCATAC